TAGTTGTCTAAATTAGGGTCCCTTGCAGGATCCTCTTTTTTTTTTTATAAGGGTGCGGTACTATTTTGGGGACCTAAAGACGGGACCCTAATTTAGAGAACTTTCCATATAGTTTAGAATTTACATCAGCCTCAACTTCTGGCTCTACCAAACGATCCGCAAATCTGACGCACAAGCCCCAAAACGCAAGCCTAAAGTCTGAGTCCTAAACCCTAAACCACAAACTCAAAGCCACAACGCTAGACCCTGAAGCCTTCGACCCTGATTGTCTATTTTTGCTTTCCTGTACAGTTTGTCCCTAATGATGACTGAGACCCCTGACTCAAAACAAGCCTGAACCCCCAAACTCTCATAAAACTTGCAAGGCAACTTTATCCATAACCAAGCGTTCTAAGACTACTGATAAAACCCTATAGCAGCATTAACACAACCTTTATGAGACCACTTATAAAACCCTAAACCCTAAACCCCTAAACCCTAAACCCTAAACCCCTAAACCCTAAACCCTAAAACTCCTGTAGCAAAATTTTCCGCTGTTCTCTGACTCTGAGTCTCCTGGCACACGCGATCCGTGGGAGGCGGCGCCTCGAACGGCGGCGAGGAGCAAAGCCCTCTATCAAATTCACGGTTTAGGGTTTAGGGTTTAGGGTTTCGGGTTTAGGGTTTAGGGTTTAGGGGTTTAGGGGTTTAGGGTTTAGGGTTTAGGGTTTAGGGTATTTTTTGCGTAAACCTCTTTATAGGGTTTTCGTGATGTTTACAGAAGGCACAGTCGGATCCCCTGAGGGTTTAGGAATCTTTATCGGTGGGTTCAGGGTCTGGGGTTTGGGGCATTGGATTCAGGGTTCAGGGCATAGGGTATAGCGTTTACAAATGTACTTGGACTACATAACCGGCTTGATGTGTTGAGGGCTTGGGGTGGCCGAAACAAGACAGTGTCTTGCGTCAATATAGGGGCCTTAATAATTAGAATGGGGTTTGGGGGGTATATTATACTATAACTATAATAAGGAACCCCCACAACCAATTAAAATTATGAAGGCCCCCACATTAGAGCTAAGGGAGTTTTGGGAGGGAGGGTGTGTTGTGAGTGAGTTGTGCTCGGCTCAGCATGGGGAAAAGGCGAGGCTTGGAACAGCTCAGCGGCAGAAAAAGCTGTTCCAGAAATACACCCCCGCTGCCACCAGAAGTTACCCATAGGCCCCATAGTAGTTCCTTTTTGAGGTTCATATTTAGAATAAGGTAATCCCCAAAAGGAACTACTATCGGGCCTATGGGTAAACATCGAATGATGGACCCTCTTGCAAAGAGGGGAGCTGGGGCCTGAGGATGTAGGGTTTAGGGTTTAGGTTGCTAGTATGTGCACCTCGAGTTGTGGTTTAGGGTTTAGGGTTTAGGGTTATGTAGTTTTCCAGCCCAGGAATACCTAACAGCCCAAACTTTAGCCGCGGACGGTCAATTTTTTTGCGTGGCCTGGGGATTGGAGTGCATGACCACCCTGCAAGTAAGGAACCCTAAACCCTAAACCCTATAAACCCTATAAACCCAAAACCCCTAAACCCTAAACCCTAAACCCTAAACCCCTAAACCCCTAAACCCTAAATCCTAGCACTTTGGGGCTGGGAACCTCCGAAGGGCTACCTGTATCTCCGGGTTCAGGCCATGGCAGCAACCCTCGCACCCGAACCAAGAAGCCTTCAAACCCCATAAGATCCGTATGTAGGGGCCCTGATAAGTAGAATAGGGTTTTATAGGGTTCCTTTTAAGGGCTCCTTTTAATGGATACTACAAGGGCTACTATAAGGGTTTAGGGTGTTGGGGCCTGAATAATTAGAATAGGGTTTTGGGGCCCACTGTACCAGAATTGTAATAAGGAACCCCTAAAAAAATCGTACCCTACCAAGCCCCTGAGCCCTACAGCCAAACCCTGAAGCCCCAAACCACCTGCTCGCTGCAGCACACCAGTCGAAATGCTGCCGGTCTCCATGACCTCCCAGCTTGTCAATTTCGGGTAGCCCAAAGCGTCTAAGTATCAATATAGTAGATGTGTATATATATATATATAGATATATACACATGCGGTTATTCGTTCACAGTGTAGCAGAAAGATCTACTATATACATTGGCACTAAGACCCTCTGGGAAGGAGCCAGAAAGGGGTTCAACGGGGTCTTTTTTCTTGAAGGATGGGCGGACGGTGGTACTAGGAATTTGTAAGGCTTCAGTAGAGCTAGAGCCTAATCCCTAAACTTAAACTCTAAACCCTGAGCCCTAGACCCTGAACCCTAAACCCTAAACCCCGAGCTGCAAAGCTGCAAGCACGCACCAGGCACAGCGCGAATCTGTGAAGTTTACACAATTCGATTCTTGGCAGCAGGGGGTTTGCAAGGCCCACGTAGCCGTAATGGTGCACAGAGATGCCGGCAGCTTTTGGTGAAGGGTCCTCTTACCTCGAAGATACCGATTTAAAGAGAGTGCAGGGTTCTGAGTACTTAGAATAGGTCTTCCGGTATACTATACTACGAATAGAAATAGTGATTCTAACGGGGTAACATTACTAACTGTGTAAGTTTTTATAGGGGCCTGAAGGGCTGCGAAATTATTCCTTGGGGTTCCGTACTTCCAGTATACACCCTAAACCCTAAGACCCTAAACCCTAAACCCTAAAACCCTATAACCCTAAAACCCTAAACCCTAAACCCTGAACCCTAAACCCACAAACCCTAAACCCTGTAATCTGCGCCCTAAGAAGTTCAAGCTCCCTAAACCCGAAACCCTGTAATCTACGCCCCTACAC